TAGGAACAAACCAGTGGCTCCTCTTACAGTTGTGAGCTGGTGGTCACACACATTTTCTAAACTTGAACTGACATTGTTTGGTGCAGCATTAAGGAATTTGATGATATGGGTTTCAAGAAAATAACATTAAATGCAACGATTATATCTGTGTTTTTAGAAAGACGGCTCATGGATTTCCCACTAGACCAGCAGCACACTCAATTTTTTTTTAAAGATTTTATTTATTATGTATACAGTATTCTGTGTGCATGTGTGTCTGCAGGCCAGAAGAGGGTACCAGATCCCATTATAGATGGTTGTGAGCCACCATGTGGTTGCTGGGAATTGAACTCATGATCTCTGGAAGAGCAGACAGTGCTCTTAACCTCTGAGCCATCTCTCCAGCCCCAGCACACTCAATTTGGATATGTTGTTTTTATTTTTATTTTTTTATTTTTATTTATTTATTTTTTTTGAGACAGGGTTTCTCTGTGGTTTTGGAGCCTGTCCTGGAACTAGCTCTTGTACACCAGGCTGGTCTCCAACTCACAGAGATCAGCCTGCCTCTGCCTCCCAAGTGCTGGGATTAAAGGCGTGCGCCACCACCGCCCGGCCCGATATGTTGTTTTTAAATCATTTTAAAAAGGAGTTTTTCCTTTGCTCATTCTTTCTTTTTGCCTTTATAAAAGCTATCTTCATTTTTAAAATAAAATATGCAACTAATGCTATCTTGATTTGTAACATCAAAGTTCATTTAGTGACCATGGACCGTCTATAATGCAATTGGAGTAAAATACTGATGTTTAAACAAAGAATCATTCATGTAATAGTCATGTCATAGCATGTACAATTCAGTGAGAAAATTCACGGCCCCCAAAAGCATAGTGTCCTGTGACAGCCTGGGAACATGGTCTCAGGTTTACGGAGGACAGAGCAGAATTCACAGTGGGCTGATGACGCTCTTGTCACTGAGTGCCTTAGGAACTGATGCTGAGAACCAACTGCTGGGACTCCTCATAACCAAGACTCTGGTTTCCCAGTATGTCTGCTGGTCACTTACATCACCAATAGCTTAACTGGCAGAGAAGTCAATGCAAAGACCAGTGTCCCTACAGGCCAATTAAAATGAGAGGTGCCCACAGCTTCCATCTCCATTTTCATTGGCGGAAGATGAATCTGTATTTTACACTTAAAATTTATACAAAAACCAAGTCCTGAAGTATCTTCCCCAAGATAAAAGTTCTAATATTCAACTCTTAAAAAAAAAGAGGGAGGGTGGAATTAGTGTGTGGAAGTAGTTTTGCTTACAGAATTTGAACCTGGCACCTCTCTGCTCATGTCTGCAGCTGAGCCTTCTACATTTATCACGACTCTCCACTGGAGATCCCCACTGGAGATGGGATCAATGCTGGAAAGTCTTCACAAGTGTTGGTGTGAGAGGAAGAATTCCACACAAAGTTACCATGTAGCTGTTTGTCCTCAGGACCAGAAGCTTGAGATCGATTGTAACGTTGTGAACCTTCCAGGCGTGTTTTCTGAGTGTGTATGAGGGATGTTGTAAAGTGGAGCAGAGCGGAACCCTGTGGATCAGTCCTCTCTGCTGATCCTACAGACAGGGGTTAGATTCTGAAAGATGGGGAGGGGAGAACCTCCAGGCAACAACCATGGAAGGAGGCAGGCGCTCAAGAGGCTGAAGCTCATCTCCTTAGACCACAGGCTCCTAAGTGCAGGGGCCTAGCTGGACCTGGAGCGGACAGGGATGAAAAACACCTGCTACTGCTGTCACTCAGGGACCCCACAGGGTAGTGAAGCAGGTACCACTCACAGGAACAAGAACAGGCCCAGACCTCCACACTAACTAAAAAGACAAGAAATAAACACAGAAGACAGGGGGAAGAGCCACAGCGGCCCTGAGTTCAGGGTAACCTGTCAGAGCAGCCCTGTTGCTCATAGTCCTGGACACGGACAGGGCTGTGCCCATCCCCATCCCTGTATCCCTGTGACCAGGACTGAGTTCAGGGTAACCTGTCAGAGCAGCCCTGTTGCTCATAGTCCTGGACACGGACAGGGCTGTGCCCATCCCCATCCCTGTGTCCCTGTGACCAGGCCCTGTCACCATGTGGTTGTACTAAGTGACAAGGACAGAAGACCCAAGGAGGACATAGTCCAGGAGTGAGCACACCACATGGCTGAGCGCCACCTGGTACAGCCCATCCTCACTCAGCTCCCACAGACTCCTCCTGTCCCCACCCTGACGCTCAGCACAGCCAACACAGATCCTGGAAGGTTCTCCAGCTGCCATTTATTTTCTCCATCACACTCTCAGAATTCTCTCCTTTAGGTTGACCTGCTAATCTCCCATGTCAAGGACACATGAAGAACCAAGTTCACAATCACATTCTTATTTTCAGTGGGGAGGTCACGGGCTGCAGCTCGGGGCAGCATGGAGTGACAGGATGGAGATGTGACCTCCTGCCTGGCTGGACAAGAAAGTTGGCTGGGAAGGGAGCACAGGGCAGTACTTGGACGGTATCCAGGTGTGCAGGGGTGAGGTGGGCACCCTGGTTCTTCACATTGTTCCCACAGGAGAAAGCAGACAGCTTCAGACATTTGTTGTTTCTTTTTCTTTCTTTCTTTTTTTTTTAAAATTTTATTTATTTATTATGTACATAGTGTTTCCTTGCATGTTTGCCCACAGGCCAGAAGAGGGCATCAGATCTCAGTACAGATGGTTGTGAGCCACCATGTGGTTGCTGGGAATTGAACTCAGGACCTCTGGATGAACAGTCAGTGCTCTTAACCTCTGAGCCATCTCTCCAGCCCCATTTGTTGTTTCTTGAGTCAGATCATGTCCCCCATGAGGCAGCAGTCTAGAGCTAAGGACTAAGAGTCATGAAGAGTGAATATAATGTCTTCTCAAAGGCCTGCTGTGACTCATTCAAATGTCTGAATCCTGAGAATCCCTGGGACCCAGTCCTCTCCTCCTTGCCTCACCCCAGCCTCGGGCTCCCAGGGTGTCACCTTTTAAAGCCTCCAGAGACAAGACAGAGCTCTGGGCACTGTTGCTGCCTGCAGAAGAAGAAAGGACAAGGCACATTCAGAAGACTGAGAGGATGTGGCAGGAGGAGGAATTTGGAGCTGGCTGGGCTCCCCACTAGTTCAACTCCATACCAAGGGTTTCAGGGACAATCCTGCTCCCCAAACTTACCTAAAACATGAGCATAGACCCCTCCTTTTCCACCTGTGAGAAGAAAACCTGTGAGACACCAGGGAAGTCCCCAACTCTAGGAAGTTTCCAGAACTGACAGCAGACCCAGGGTAGAGACAGCAGCAACAAGGGGTGTGGATGTGTTTCCCATTAATGAGGCAGAGCACACTTCTAAAAGTGGCTGAGAGAGAACTCAGACCGTGCCCTTTCCTACCTTTGCTTCTCATCCTCTTCTTCACAACAGCCACCACAGCTACAATGATGATCACAGCTCCAAGGAGAACCACAACAGCAATGACTGCCATGATGGGGACCGTGGACTCAGGAGGCTCTGGGAAGGGAGGGACAGGAAGGGAAGGTGAGGGTCATGACCCCAGCTTTCAGCCTTGACCCTGCTGAGTGTCTGCAGAAGGCTTCAGCTTTCCCTGACCCCAGCCTCTGCACCCACTCCCTCCTTACCCCATCTCAGGGTGAGGGGCTCAGGCAGCCCCTCATGGTACACATGGCATGTGTATTTGTGCTCCTCCCCAGAAGGCACCACCAGAGATGCCCACTTCTGGAAGGTTCCATCCCCAGAAGGTCTGGTCTCTACCAGCTCCAAGTCCTGCGTCTGCTCCTCCTCATCCCTCTGCCAGATCAAGGTGATGTCAGCCGGGTAGAAGCCCAAGGCCCAGCACCTCAGGGTGACATCACCTTTAGGTCCAGGATGATGGGTCACATGTGCCTTTGGGGGGTCTGAGGGAAAGAGTTGTGAAGATGAGACATCTTGCTTTCTTCTGGGGACTCAGCAGTGTTCATGTGACCAGTCTGGGAATGGACAGGGGAACTGGGGTGGGATTAGGGTGTCCTGATATTAGTAGACCCCAGCTAGAGCTCAGGCCCTGGGGTCATGTGCTCTTCGGGATGCTCTAAGATGTGAGTGACAGTTTGGGGTAGGAGGCTTCAGGGCTCTGCAGACTGATGGAGGGGAAGGGATTCTGGTCCTGAGCTGAGTGAGGGCCAGGAGACTCAGAAAATCTGGAGTCAGACTCCAAAGACACCGTGTGTGGGGCACAGAAGGAGGCCTGAGAGAAAAAGCTCCTGTGGTCCAGGGCCATCCTCAAGGCTGACCTGCTGTACAAGGGTTAGTCTCCCAATGGGAAAAGCAGCCTGGAATCTCCCTGTCCTTATTCCTCAGCCCGGTGCCTGCTGGACAGTGTTCTTCCTCTGAGGATGCCCGGAGCCTTTCCCCCACACTATCGAGGAAAAACAAGGATGGGTCTCCAGGTACCTGAGCACAGCAGGGTCGCGTTCCCCAGCTGCAGGTATCTTTTGAGGCTGTCTATGCAGGGGCCCTGCAGGTATGCTCTCTGGTGATCGGCCTCGTTCATGTTCTCTAACTTGCGCTTAGAGATCTGAGAGGCCGCATCAGTTGAGGTCCAGGAGCGCAGGTCCTCGTTCAGGGAGATATAATCCCGGCCATCGTAGGCCTCCTGACAGTACCCACGGAGCAGGCTTTTATCTGGACCCATGTCACAGCCATACATCCACTGCAGAGTGTGAGGTTCTGGTGGGGACACAGAGGTTAGCGCCGCCTTGCGGCCACCCTGCCTGCTGTCATTGCGTCCTTAACCCGATCTTTCAGAAAAAAGGGCCACCGAAATCTGAGCCAAACTCTGCGGAGTCTTTCCTGTTAGAGGGTCTGGGCGCGTGTTTGGATGAAACTATCGCTCAGCAGGTGAAGATGACCCAAGCCTGTCTCAAGGGAGATGGAGGGGTCGTGTCT